GTATGCGTTGTTTTGTCCATCGCTGACCATCTCTATGGGGCAAATTTCTTCCATGGACAGAGTGGTGTTTCAACACCACCATTAATTCCTCTATTGGTTTCATTCCATTCGAAGTTATGTTTGACCTTCTTCCACCAAACATCCCTCCGACTTTGGATATGACTACTATCAATGTCGTAGCACATTTTGAAACCAGTTCCCGCGATGAAATTCTTCGCAAATTGCAGTCCAATCTTCTCAAAGCATAGCAGGCCATGAAATGCTGGGCAGATACCCACTAACGTGATGTTCACTTCAACCACATTGTCAAAACTCTCTCATTGGTCAGTACCTTGGCAAATTGCAGAAAAGGTTCTTCAGTCCTTATTTAGTTCTTGAAAAGATAGGTGATATGGCCTACAAATTGGACATTCTCAGGCCTCACTAGAGTCCATTTCCTTCTCCTCAACCACTCCGTCTTCCCCCTGACATTGAAGACAATAAACCAGTCATCACCCTCACTGCTATTTTGGATTGGAAGTTGTCCTCCGACACTAATGCCCCACAACAAATAGTTTTGAATCAATGGCAGGGTCTTCCTTTGGAAGAGGCTACTTGGGAATCTTGGGCACAAATTCAAGCCCAATTTCACCTTGAAGACAAGGTGATTCTCGAGGAGGCAGGAGATGTTAGACCCACTTCTACTAACATACCCATTATGGTGGAACAACCAAGACCAAAGAATATTCAAGAGAAAATAGAACATGATGTAAGACCCAACGAATTTGAAGGAGACCCATTTACTTCAAGGATTGTGTAACTAAATGATTATGTGGCAATATTGATAGAATTTGGTTAGACAAGAGGAAACATATCTAATAAACTTTATATTTTTTTTTCTATTTTGCACTATTTTGCACATTGTATTATATGTATGATGCTATATAAACATAGCTAATGATTAAGAAAGGTAGAGATAATTTTTGATGAAATTCCTTTCTATTATTCTCGTTCCTTTTAATTATCCTTTTCTGGTTACTCTGTTGTACTTTCATTAGTGTAAGGAAGTCGTTATAGGCATCTTTGAAATCAAAATAATATAAAAGGGTCTTGATCTTGAATTTTCACGGGGAATCATAATTGATTATTAGTAAAATCACAATTAGGTGAAAAGCAATGAAAAGACTATTAAATTAAAATAAAATGACTTTTTAAAATCTAGTATGTTTTTAAGTTGGAATAATGTATCTACAACTAAAAAATATAATTTTCTAAATCAGTAAAATCTGAAAACCTAACTTAATTGTAGTAGAAGAACAGATATAGAAAATAATGTTTATTTTTTTTAGTGTTTCATTAATTATTGATTTGATGCATAATTCCACTTTAAAACTCAAACTAAAGTCAGTAACAACTACAATTCTGTTTAATATATGATATATTTTTTATACAACAAATATAATGAAATACAGTCATTTTAAATTTGATGGATGGTTTTTTAAATTTATTGACTTGCTTTGGTAATAAAATGTGTCCTATTAATTTAATAGAGTTATTATGTTTTGTAATAAATTGTTTGATTTTTGTACTTGTCAGGTTGATAATATTTAAGTTAATGGATCATTAATAGATATTAATGTCAAATTATTAACTTATTAATAAGATAATGATTGATTCAATTAGTAATATCATAATAAAGTTGAATAATTATCATTAAACAGGTAATTTTATTTTAGTAAAATATTTTATATATATCATTTTCCATATGATGATATATGTTACTGAATAGAAAATACATACACTAAGTTGTTCGTGATTAGAACTAAGTTCTCACCCATTCGACACTAAAGCCAAGGTGCTGAGTTGTTTGCCGCAACTAAAACCAAAGTGCCAAGCTGTTTTGCCGTTGTCATTCCATTATTTATTTCAAGTCGGGTTTTTTGGGTAAGGACAATTTTTTTATTAAAAAAAATGGTATAAACTTTAATTCCATTGTTATTTTCTTTAATATATATATATATAACACGGATACGATATCGGAACAATAACATTTTCCTTTAATTAATTTGGTGTTTAAGGTTTTAATTTTGTTTCTCTGATTTAATTTAGGGTACTCGCTTCTCACATGAACCTTGATAAGTTAAGACTAAGAAAACTTAATATTTTCAATCTATAGATGACCTCTTTATAATATTTTTAAGCTATCAAAGTTTTAGTTTATTAAAATGTAGTTTGGATTTAGATTTTATTGGAAATACGTGTCTTAGGCCAATCACCTAAATGCTTTTTAATAGAAATATGATAATATGTGATTAGAGTGTAAAAATAGTTTACACCATTTAAGCATAACCTATTTTTTCTTAAATTTTAAATTAGTAAAATTATCACATTTCAAAATATTTTCTTGTTAGGTTTGCGGTTGACAACCAAATTATTAAAAGATAAATCATAACTTTCAATGTTACAGGTAATGATCTAATCACTATTTTAAAAGGATAAAAATGATGAAATGACTTATCTAACTATTGTCTAACTGTATTGATGTTATTATGATTAGGATTAATTTATGACTTTAATATTTCTTTGTTACTTGTATCGGGCTTATAAGGATGGAAAGGAAAAATTAGAAAAATTGGTGGCCATTATGGTCAACCATAAGTAAGCTGTTAATAATTTTTTCCTCTAATAACGTAAATGTTATGATTGAAAGGTTTAGGTTTGTGTAACATATTAATTTTAATGGATACTCTTTTTTCTTTATACAATTATACTACCCCAACCTAGAAATTAAATTGACTAGACCGAATAACTAATTTCATTTCAAAATATTCAAACTTATTATAAATATGAATGCATAGCTAATAATTGGAATTGAAGAATACTTTCATCATCAATTGTACCGGTAAATCTTAATCTTAATCTAAAACTATGTATGTGTTTAGTAAAAGTCAATGTTCAACTAGTTATCTAGTTGTATTAGGAATAACATGTGCTTGTGTATCTTTAAGAAAGTTTTTTTATGATTATATGAAGAAAGTTGTATATTCTCGGCATTTTCAAAAGATGGTTTATATGGGATACTTGAAGATATTATGGTTTTAAGAAATTACTTTTTATAGGTGGCCAAAAGTGGTTGTGTGAAAGTGGAACAACTTATTAGTATTGAAAGATATTCCCATGTCATGCACATGAGCTCAAGAGTAAGTGTTAGCTAGCATTCAAACATATGAGAATACTAGATAGTATTGAATTGGATTTAATGTTCCAACAAAAATGTTGATTTTTTAATATAGGTAACCGATGAGTTGTAGATCATCAGACTAACTCGGATGCCTAAATTCTGCGTTACCTGATGGAATCACCGATGATATTATATTTTTTTTAGATATAATATATTAAATTTGACATATATATATATATATATATATATATATATATATATATATATATATATATTAAAATCTAGGTACTTATTCACTATATATTTTGTTATTTATATTTTATTAAGAAATAATATTTGATGGGTTTTGTTATTAGATGATAAATCAGGTGATCCATATCATTTTTGTTCATCTTATTCGGGCTTGCCAAAAATAAATGAGAGGGTTAATTCGTCATATTCAATACAAATCATAAATCCAAATTTATCCCGCTAAAAGGTAGACTAGTAGACCGCAAATAATTTGTTTTATATATATTTAAAAAAATATATCTTTAATTATATAAATAATTTTATGTTTTATTTATTAATATTTTTATTAAATAAATTAAAAAATATTATATTTATGTGTAAAAAAATATTTTTTTTATTGAATTACATTTAGCTAAACACATTTTCAAATTGTATTGAATTAAAAAAATTATAGATTTAATAACTTGAGAGAAAATTAAATTAATAGTTTATATGTTATTAAAATAAATAAAGAATATATATTATTAAGTTTTCAAAAATATATAGGTTAATCATAAATTATTATTATATTATATATTTAAATTATTAATTTTATTATAATGATAAAATTATTATTATAATTTTCATGAATTTTTAAAATAATTTAAAATAAAAATAGGTAATTTAACTACTAATTATAAAATTATTAAAAACATAATTTATAAATAATAATTGAAATTTTAATTCATTAATAAAAATAATATTAAAAAATAGTAATTAATTTATTTTTGGTGGTTTTTTAAATCAGTAATAAATTTTAAATGAATATAAAATATTATATATTTTGTAGTAATTTTTTTACAATTTAAAATTATAAAAAATATTAATTAAAAATAAGAATAAGGGATTTTTAACTCTTAAAATTTCCGATTTTAACTGTTACAATTAAAAAGTTTTTTTTTTAGTATACTTTGATTTCGAGTAAATCTTTAATTATATAATTTAATAACAGCTTGATCATTGCAATAATTTAGAAAATGTTTTTTGAACATTATTTTTTATATTTTATTTTACAAACACTTAAATGATTTTCAAGCATGTGATACATTGACGTAGGATGAAAAAACAATTTGAATCATATGCTTTTTAAACTAAAGTATATTTTAAAATTAACGGGATAAATACATTGATGTTTAAAAAATAATAATAGCGAGTATTTTATGTGATCAAGGTTATAATAATGTTTCTTCCAAAGTTGAAATGTTAAGTAGTGTGATTATTATGATTAAGAATAGTTGTCCCGTACCGTTGTGGAATGTAGGGTACCAAAAAGACTGTATGCTACACTTGATAATTCACTTTAAATACAAGTTTATCACTGTATCTTTTATTGATGACAATCCTTTATAATATCTTTGATTATACAAGTGTCTTCATCCAGTAGAGTGGTTTGTGTAAAGTTTAGGTCTGAAAGGGTTTTGCAAATGCTTCTTAGCAACAATTTACTGAATATAGACATTTTAAGTTTCATATCATATCAAGCCACACATGCATGCCTTTTTTTTTTTTTATATTGTATCATCACTCTTAAAAGGAAACAACAAAACGGATATGGGATACAAGGTACATGTTACATATTTCTAGAATTAGAAAACCTACGCAAATTGTCCACCATAAAGTAGTAACAATTTAAAGTGAGCAATTCCATGTAGTAAAACCATGCTTGCCTCCAGTAAGGGTTGATGTATAAAGCTGCTGCAGTTGCCAACAATGCTAATGTGTATGCCACAACAAAGCTCACACAAAAAACATACATGTCCACCAAACTACCATCCTCTCTGTCAGTGTTCGAATCAGTTGGAATAACTGTAGAAGCTGGATTGCAACTCTTTGGTAGTGGAGGTCCACAAAGAAACGGGTTATCCTCGTAGCTGCTTTCATCAAATGTTGAAAATTGTCTTGTTCGTTCAGGTGTTGGGCCTGACAAGTTGTTGTGTGCGACACTAAATACTGCAAGTGAGGTTAGGATATTGAGTTGAGGAGGAATTTGACCACTCAACATGTTGAAAGAAAGATCTAAACTCTCTGTCTGTATCAATTTGGAGAACGAATCTGGAATTTGTCCAGTCAATTCATTATGAGACAAGTTCAATCCTCGGATTCTTGTCAAGTTTCCAAGCTCGTATGGGATATTCCCCTTCAGTTTGTTCTGGGATAAATCAATTCCAGACATATAAGCAAGGATGCTTCCTATGTAAGTATCGTCTCTTTTCTTTGATGTGAAACTTGCTTTCTCTTTCGTTTTCCCTGGTTGTAAAAATGGTCCTGCAATTGCATATTGTCGAACAAAGAAGGTTCCCTTATGTGCTTTGAATAATGGATCAAGGTTCTTATTATCAAAAGGCATTTTGCCCAAGCAAGGAGGAATTTAGAAACGATGGAAGAACACCAGTCAAATTATTTTGGGAGAGATCTAGAACTTTTAGAGCTTCGTGTTGTGCCAATTCTAATGGAATGGATCCTTCAAAGTGGTTGTTGGACATTCGAAGTTCCGATAATCTTGAAAAGTTTTTTATAAGGCTTGGAATCTTTCCAACCAAACGATTATTGGTTACATCCAATGAAATGATGGATGTGTTGAAAATGTGGCTTGGGACTCTACCATTAAATTTGTTATCATTCAAGAACAAGATCTGCAAATCAGTGGGTATTAGAAAAATAGGTCCCTCGAGCTTATTATTTGAAAGTTTCAAGAAACGGAGTTGGTGCGCAGCTTCAAATATGTCCTCTGATATTTCAACGGATAATTGATTGTTGGAAAGATCCAACTCCTCCAATAATTTCATTTGTCCTAACTCACGAGGAATTGAACCTTGGATGTGGTTGCTAGACAAGAATAGATATTCTGATATTCTTGCTGGGCATTTGGCCAATTATGGTATTGTCAGACACATCAATCATCTCTATCTTAGGAAGGGGACGCGATGGTAGTTTCATAGTACCTGTGAAAGAACAATTGCTAAGAAGAACAATAGTTAATTTTGTGCTGTTTTCCAACAACCAATGAGGAAACCGTCCTTCCAACTTCCAACCCCTCAAATCCAGACTAGTTAAATCATTTTGATAAAGAAGAAAGTTGGGAAGCGGATTAGAACTAGTCTCAACGCTTGAAGACATGCTAAGCTCTTGTAATTGAAATTTTGGAATCCAAGTTTGCAGGCTATTTTGCGAGTCAAATATGACTTTGTTGCCTTCACCATATATGAACTTTAGATTTGAGTGATTGGCAAATGGTGCAAAAGAAAGAGGGACCTCAAATTGATTTCCAATGAAACCAAAATGTTCAAGTTGTTAAGGTTCCAACATAAAATTAATTGATAATATGTGAAGTAGTCTAACATGTATTTAAACTATACCAAATTACATGAGGTAGGCGATGTGAGACTTTCAACATGCCCCCTCCAACGAAACCTATCAGACCAGACAAATGGTACTTTTTAATCCAACGAAAGGACAACTTTTGGCCCAAGACAATAACCAGAAAGATGTTAGGCTTTGACTCTGATACCAATTTGTTGACAAATAAGTATCTAAATAAAGTACTTTTAATATTATCACTTGATGTGTTTTTTGCAATAAGTGGTACATGATCAATTTATAGACCTTTGGATATGTACATGCATTTAATACAACTACTACTTTTCAACTACATACATTCAATATAACCACTATCTCTCAACTATATACATTCAATACAACTATTACCTCTATAACCACTACCTCTCAACTACATGCATTTAATGTTTACCTAACAAAATCCCCCCATAAACTTAAATGCTTTTCTTGTCCTTCATTCCAAGCATCTTCTTGCTGTTCTCGAACAGAGTGGTTGACAGTGGCTTCGTGAACATATCTGCAGCTTGTGTCCCTTTACTACGAGTCGAGCTTTATATCGCTCAACTTCTCCTTCAACATTTGTCTTCTTTTTGTACACCCACTTTACGCTGATAGGCCGCGCTCCTTTGGGCAAATCAGTTAGCTCCCATGTGTTGTTGCGTTCTATTGCTCCGATCTCCTCGTCCATTGCCTTTTTCCACCTTTTCTCCTGCACGACCTCTTCAAAACTTAAGTCTTCTGAATCTGCCAAGAGACATACAACATGAACTTCGTCAGTGGAGTTGTATATATCTTGTAAACTTTGCGCTTTGCGCTGTAGAGGTTCATCTTCTTCATCAGAAGTCTCATGATCTCTCACAGTATGTGGTGTATCAACTTCCAAGCTTCTACTTCCCATGGACTCCTTCTCCGGATTGTTACAACTCGGCTCATGATGATCTTCTTAGTTATTGGGTTAAACAACCTATACGCCTTGGTTTTTTCATCATACCCAATAAACACGTACTTTTTACTTTTATCTTCGAGCTTGGTCCTCTGTTGAGCTGGAACATGACCATAAGCTATGCTACCAAATACTTTAAGGTGAGACACACTCGGTTTTCTTCCACTCTAGACTTCTTGCGGTGTCTTCTCGTTCAGCTTAGCATGTGGACATCTATTTTGCACATAGATGACACATTGCAGTGCTTCTGCCCAGAACTCCTTTGACACGTTTTTGCTTCTCAACATTGTTCGAACCATGTAAAAAATGGTTCGATTCTTCCTCTCGGTAACTCTGTTTTGTTGGGGTGAGTATGGTGCTGTTAGAAATCTCCTTATCCCTTGCTCCTCGCAATATTTCATGAGTTCGGATGAAATGAACTCGCCTCCTCGATCAGACCTAATAGATTTGATAGGCATGTCAGTCTCTTTCTCAACCATTGCTTTAAATCTCTTGAACACCTCAAACATCTCGGATTTCTCCTTCAAAAAATATACCCAGGTTTTTCTTGAAAAATCATCTATAAAAGAAATGAAATACCTTTTCCCACTAAAGGACTCAGGAGTAACCGACCCACAAAGATCTGTGTGAATCAATCCGAGTTGTTCCTTTGCACGGTACTTGGCCGTCCTCGGAAATGAGGTCCTCGGATGCTTCCCGAGCACATACTCTTCACAAAATTTCTTTTCAAATTCCATAGACGGGAGTCCTCGCACCATCTCTTTCTTTACCAACTCGGTCAGCCCGCCAAAATGGAAGTGGCCAAACTGAAAGTGTCACATCATTGCTTCATCCTTCACGTCAAGTTTCAAGCACCTCTCTTGGACTATCTTCAAGTCCAACTTGTACATTCTGTTCTTCTTCATTTCTACTCAGACAATCAAACGATCTGACTTGTCCTTCAGGTATAGTACTCGGTCTTTCATCAGAACCGAGTAGCCTTTCTCCATCAGTTGACCCATGCTCAATATGTTGCTTTTGAGATCGGGTACATAGTACACATCTCTGATTTCTCCAACTCGGCTATTCTTCTACAGGTACCAGATTGTACCTCTGCCTTTTACTGCCATCTTTGATGCATCTCCAAATGATACGTGTCCGGCCTCAACTTTAATGAGCTCCTTAAAAAGGTTCTTGTCCCCGCACATGTGGTTACTTGCTCCTGTATCAAGATACCAAACCGAGTTGTCAGAACAACTCGAACTTAGCTTGACATCCGAACTTCTCGATATCATCAATATTCTTCCTCAGTGTCCTCAGAGAGGAGGTTTGTCTCCTTCTTCCTCTCAGATCGGCAGTCCTTCGTGAAATGTCCAACCTTCCCACAATTATAACATTTGATACCTGAATAGCAGTCCTTAGCAAAATGACCGTACTTCCCACATTTGAAGCACTCAATTCCGGAATTGCTTGACTGACCACCTCGGCCTCTACCATCACGACCTCTACCTTGTCTTCGGCCATGTCAGTTTTGTTGACTGACTTGCTCCTTGCCTCTTTCATATTCTCCTCTGCCTCTACCACCTCGGCCTTGAGTGTTCTGAGCATAAGGAACATTCTTCTCCTTTAAGGTTGTCTTTGCTTGGAGTGCTTGATCAAGGGACTCCTCTTTCTTCTTCCTTCTTCGCTGCTCATGCGCTTCAAGCGACCCGACAAGCTCTTCCACTGAGAGCACCGACAAGTCCTTGGACTCTTCTATTGCACAAACGATATTCTCAAAGTCGTCAGTTAACGACCTTAAAATTTTCTCCACCACTCGGCAAGTGAGTAGCGTCTCTCCATTCCTTCCGAGTTGATTCACCACGGTCTTAACACGGGAGATGTACTCGGCAACTCCTTCGACCTCTTTCATCCTCATGCTTTCAAGCTCGCTTCTAAGAGTTTGAAGTCTGACTTGCTTCACACGATTATCTCCTTTATATGCCTTCTCCAGAATATCCCACACTTCTTTTGAAGATTTAGCAAGCTGGGCAATCGTCTGCTCTTCAATATTTTCTGGTTCTTGGTGCCCATTTTCGACCACATCCCATACTTCTTGGGAACCAAGGAGAGCCTTTCGATAACTTTGGCAGGGGCATGCTGTTAGCTAAGTTGGTCATCTCGAATGGCTCTCTAACTCTCAAACACTCTCTCTAACGCACTCAGACACTCAGGCTCTCAAGCTCTGATGCCATGTTAAGGTTCCAACATAAAACCAATTGACAATATGTAGAGTAACCTAACATGTATTTAAACTATACCAAATTACATGAGGTAGGCGATGTGGGGCTTTCAACACGCCCCCTCTAACGAAACCTGTCAGACCAGGAAAATTGTACTTTTTTATCCAACGAAATGACAACTTTTGGCCCAAGACAATAACTGGAAAGATGTTAGGCTTTGACTCTGATACCAATTTGTTGATAAATAAGTATCTAAATAAAGTACTTTGTATATTATCATTTGATGTGTTTTTTGCAATAAGTGGTACATGGTCAATTTATAGACCTTTGGATATGGTCTATCAACTACATACATTTAATACAACTACTATCTTTCAACTACATACATTCAATATAACCACTATCTCTCAACTATATACATTTAATACAACTACTATCTCTATAACCACTATCTCTCAACTACATGCATTTAATGTTTAACTAGGTGATGTAAGGCTAGCAATGTTAGAATCAAACTGTCCAGTGAAGAGATTTTGAGAAAGTTCCAATATCCGAAGAGATGTCATGTTACCAAAAGATGAGGGAAGCGGTCCATCAAATTTATTATAGCTCAGATCTAACTCTTCGAGATTCTTCAGTTTAAACCAATCTGAATAATGAAATTTAGAAAAAGAAAAAGAAAAAGAGAAATAATCTTGTATAATAATGAAAGTTATGAATAACGTAAACAGGTAAGCTAATGATAATATAATTACCAGCTTGAGGAAGAGTGCCATTTATATCAGAATATGCAACAGAAAGAAGTTTCAAAGATGTCAATTCCCCAATCCTCTTCAAAAACTTGTTTTCCATGTTACGACTTCCGTCCAATCTCAAATTTTGTAGGTTACTTAAATCCTTAAAATCTGCACAGTAGAAAAAAATTTGACATGAAGGTTAATGTAACAACAATGAAATTAATTTACCCAGAGAAATTCATGAATATTACTACCTCCGGCAACAATTGTTCCTTTAAATGTATTGCCAGACATTGAAAGCACCCTAATAGATGATGATAAAGCTCGTAATGAGTCCCTGAGCTTGTTTCCATCTATCATATTCCCATCTAAAGTAAGTTCTTCCAATCTACTTAAACTCTTTGAGCCTGAAAGATATGTAATATCTTAATTTAATTAGGCTAAATGCGACAGACCAAATATTTTCATAGCTAAAGTATAAATTAAAACACTTTAATTTAATTTTTTTAAAATACCTTCACGGACCACAAAATTGTGGATATTATTATAGCTTAGAGCAAGATTCGTCAAGTTGGTCAGAATCGATAATCCTGCAAGAGATAAATAAAGAAGCAATAAAAAAAATGTAAGATATCATTGGTGAAGGGTAATATTTTTATATAAGTAATTTAGTTTCATTGTTGAAATATACAGTATTTATAGGATTATTTTTAATTATTTTTTATTTATAGATGAATTATTTTGATGACTTTTTATTTTTTTTATCAATTATAAGATGAAAAGAGAATAAATAATTAATATAAGATAAAAAGAGAATAAATGATTACGAATGATTTTTGTATAAATGCATCTAACTATAATTAATTTACGAGAAATATTAACTAAAAGGTAAAATTTGTATAATTATACAAACTAAATGAATAATTAAATCTAAATATTAAAAATAGAGCAAAAAACACTGACCACTGATATCTAGCGATCCTTCTAACTGATTTCCACTTAAATCAAGGGATTTGAGACTTTCAAGCCCATTTAGGCGCGAAAAAAATTTGTTGCCCAAATGGCTACGCGTCAACGTTAGGACTTGTAAATTGGTTGGCCATGTGAATCCATCATTCTCTGATAAAAACAAAATTGAAAGCATGTGGTTATGAGCGTAGTCAGAAAGAATAAGGATCATGCATTAATTGAGTTTAGATTAATCACAACTAACCTAAACGCCACAAGTTACTCTCATTCAACTGGTTGAAAGATAAGTCAAGGTTTTCCAAGGAACTCAGCTTTGATATATCTGTCAATATATATTCCGATTATATTTTAATAAAAGAAAAAAATATATATGAAGAAGATTTCTAATATGGAAAGTATGACGCACTAAAAATTGATCTCCTAGTCAATTGACTATATCTTAAATATAAAGACTTGAGGGATGAGAGTCCACTAAGGGCAGATCCAATATCACAGTCCTTGAAGTTGTTCTGGGACAAGTCAAGAACCTCAAGATTACTTAATTTCGAACATAAACCTGGAAGGAATATATCCTCATTAATTAAGAAGTAAAAACCCACTGCTTAGGTCTATTAATTAATGAAATGGAAATATTATATGCTACCTTCAATGTGAAGATCTGAGTCCAATTCAGTCTGAGACAAATGCAGCTCCTTTAAAGATGTGAATCCCTCGAGGGATGGCAAGATGTCATTAGTCAAAGTGTTCCCACTTATGTCAAGGACCTCCAGATTGCTCAGCTTTGATGAGAGAGTTTCCAAAACTTATATATGCACACGTGTATTGAATAGAACCACAAATTGTGTAAGAAGCCAGAAAAATTGTTAAAAAAAAAAATAGTGTAAAAAATTTAGAAGAATCATCATATCATAACAATCAGAAATATTAAAATAAAAAGGAGAAATATAGGTAATCTCACCGTGGTGCAAGGAAGATGTATTGAAGCTGTTATACGATAAATATAGAGACTTGAGATTTGAAAGGCCATCCACACAAGACAGAATGCTGGCAGCATTATCCAGCTTCAATTCAAGGACCTCCAGACTTGGCAACCCTGCAAAGTGTGTAAAATAAAGTTGAAATAATGAGTATTCCGTAAAACATGTAACACGCACGTTCATATAAATTTTACGGATTAACCTTCATTCCCCACACAACCAACTATATTATTATCTAATGACAAGTGGAGGTGCTTCAAATCTTTGAAGACAGAAAAATCCGAGTAATTAATATATTGTTCGACTGAATTCCGCAGCGAGAGTTCAGTCACTCTCCCTGTGGAGGAGTTGCACTTCACTCCTTCCCATTCACAACAATCCGAGTCCGAAGAGAAAGGGATTTGGAAACGGGAAGTTAGGGCCGAAAGAGCAAGTCTGTCTTGCTTGGAACATGATTGAGAGGAGATGGCTTGCAATAAAAGGAAAAGGAGGAAAGAGAGTCTCACAATCTTCATTTTCCTCTTCATGACTTCAACCGTTTGCTCTCCATCCTTTAAATAGAAAACCATGCATATTAGCCATTCTTTCACGTCCTTCACAAAGTCTAAAATATTTATTTATAAATATGACGCGGTTTTATGCTTTATTGCCTTTCTGAACACTTTCTACAAAAGTACCACCGTAGTGGAGAGGTTGTGGAAATTACATGCAGTGTTCCGTTATTTACTTGTTGACGAAGACTTGACTTCACCGTCTTTATGCTTTTTCTTCTTTTTAAGACTTACATTTACTTACCACCCACTATGATTTTAGTTTCATGATTACCAAAAATAATTCAATTTAGTTTACTCAAATATCTACTGTAGTTACGTAGTTAACGAGTAGTTTAGGTTGAAAATTGACGTAAACTTATAGAATAATGTAGAAAATATATGTGTATGCTAGTTATTATTAGAAGCTACAATATGATTCTAGAAAATGAAAAAAAAAACCTAAAAATAGAATAGTGTAGAAACAATGACGTTAGTAATCTTGTAAGTAAAACATATAAACAGGCTTGAAGAGAGTCTTTGTATATATAGTGAAAAACACTATCAATTCAAAAACTTCTTTTCTATTAGTCCTTACTCCTTCTCTTACCAAAATCCTTAACTATTTTTCATCCTTAAACATTCCCACATAAGTTTTATCATTTCAAATAAAACATTTGCTTTCCTTCTATTACTTCAACCCACTTCTAAAATACTAAGAGTGGTATCAGAGCTACGTTCGGTCAACTACTGAGCGTAGAGAAAATTTTTCAACTACCTTAAAAAACCCAATCCCACTACACATTATTTCCAAAAGAAAAATTCCAATCTATGACCATTACCAACCAAACATCATCCATTCCAGTCCCTATTTTCAAGGAAGAAAATTATGATTTTTGGAGAATCAAAATGATGACATTTTTTTGTTCTCAAGATCTTTGGGACGTCATAGAAGATGAGTTCATTATTTCAGAAGACATCTAAACCCTTACAGTTGCCCAGAGGCCACTACCAACCAAACATCATCCATTCTAGTCCCTATTTTCAAGGGAGAAAATTATGATTTTTGGAGAGTCAAAATGATGACATTTTTTTGTTTTCAAAATCTTTGGGATGTCATAGAAGATGAGTTCATTATTTCAGAAGACATCTAAACTCTTACAGTTGCCCAGAGGAAGGAGCTGAAGAAAAACAAATAGAAGGAAGCCTAGAGGAAAGAGCTGAAGAAAAACAAATAGAAGGATTCAAGGAAGTAATGAGGTATGAAATATTAAACTCCATTCACTAAGAAGAGAATTTGAGTTAATAAGAATGAATGAAAAACAAATAGAAGGATGCCTAGAGGAAGGAAGGAAAGATATGCAATATTAAATTCCATTCACTAAGAAGAGAATTTGAGTTAATAAGAATGAATGAATCTGAGACCATAAAAAACTACTATTCTAAAATCACTAGTACAGAAAGTCCTTTTATCAAATTAAGAGAATTGTTACTGACAGAATTCAAATATAGTACCTTAGAATTGAAGATCGATACTCTAACCACTAAACTACTAGGATTTTCCGATAATAACTTATAAATAAATTATATTTATATACAAATAAAAATGTATATTCATGTAAATATATAAATATAAAATATATAAATACAAATACAAATATATTTATATATTTATATGTTGGATGTGAGAGCGCGCTCGAGGGTGAAAATGTGTGTCAAGTGGGTTTTCAAAATTTGATGCCAAATTTGTGAGCGAGTCTCTTTATATGAATTTGTAATTTAATGATAGAATATAATCTTTATAATTAATTTATATAATGATATAAAAATTTGTAATTTAATGATAGAATATAATCTTTATAATTAATTTATATAATGATATAAAATAAAGAGACTCGCTCACAAATTTGACATCAAATTTTGAAAATTCACTCGACACACACTTTCATCCTCGAGCGCGCCCTCACATCCAACATATAAATATATAAATATATTTGTATTTATATATTTTATATTTATATATTTACATGGATATATATTTTTATTTATATATAAATATAATTTATGTATAAGTTATTATTAGAAAATTCTAGTAGTTTAGTGGTTAGAGTATCAGCCTCCAATTCTAAGGTACTAGGTTCGAATCTTGTCAATGACAATTCTCTTAATTAGAGAGAGGTTATGATAAATAAAATAAATAAATAAAAATATTAGACTTTCTACATTGGTTCTAGAACCGATGTTAAAAGCCTATTTTCTACTATTTCTATTCCCCAAAAATATGATGCAATAAAATTAATAGAGAACTTTCTAGGAATAAGAAAAACTCTAGAAATTTTTTCAAGACTATTCAAGGAAAATATCTTTCATGTGACACTTGCAAAAAGACAAGTCACTTGGAAAAAAGATTGTTGGCATCGAGGAAAACCTCAATGTCATTACTATAAGAAATTTGGACATGTGAAGAAAATGTGTCGCAACAAAAATCATCAACAAGCAAGATGATACTTGGATAACGGGTGTAGTAACCATATGACGAATGATCCAAGCATCTTCAAAGAAATTGATAACTCCATCAAAGTTCAAGTGTGATTAGGAAATGACACCATGGTAGAGTCAAAAGGAAAAGACAGTATTATGGTGGAGACCAAGAAAAGTATGAGACTTGTAGACCCCAAATCTTGTCCGGACTCCTAATAAAGCCGAAGATCGCTCATTCCGAAGATGGTTAAGACTCTATCAAGTCCCTAATAGCTTGTTCTAGGTTCCATTTAGGATATGAAAGGTTTTTAGAGGCATTAAAAATCGGGAAATCCGCCGGAGACAGCAGATGGCCGTCCAAAACAGGCGGATGGCCGTCCAGAGCAGGCAAACGGCCGTCCATGGCAAGTAGACGGCCGTCCATGGCAACTTTAAGGCCATGGATGACCGTCCACTTAGCTTGGACGACCGTCCAGGGCAAAAAGTCGCCATGGACGGCCGTCCACACTACATAGACGGCCGTCCGCTTTGTCCAGACGGTCGTCCGCCTGTCCTGGCCCAAATCCCTATAAAAAGGGACCTCATTCCTCCGAATTTTGACACTTTTTCCACTCCTCCACTCTCTTGGAAGATTTTTGGCACTTGAGAGTGACCCTGAGCATTATTCCGGGGTTCGAGGGAGCTTTCCGATTTCTGTTAAGGTTGAAATTGGTTAAGGAAGTCTCTTTTTGAAGCATCCGGCCCTCGGTAGAGTGATTTGTATTCATTTTACGGGAGGAGCGTGCTTGTAGAGTGCGGGGACTGCCAAAAAGTGTCCTCACGTTTTAGAAGAGTTAATATAAAGCTCGCTTTGGAGGTTTCTTCTCTATTCTTTGTCTCTTTTACTGCTTTCTTCATCGCTTTCTTTTTGTGCATTAGATAGTAGAGCCATGTAGATATTTAAATTCTGCAAGTAGATCAAATAATAGGGTAAAAATGTAATTTCTTTAAGTATTTATTTTCTAAATTAGTCCATCATAGGGAACCCGAAAGGGGCGTTGTGGGGGTGCTAACACCTTCCCCACACGTAACTAACTCCCTTACCCGACTCTGGTTGTAATGGCCAAAGTTGGTTTTTTCTAAAACCACTGCCTTTTCTTTTTTTTACCTTTTTCAGTGTTTAAGGTTAAAACACTGGTGGCGACTCCTCGAACCTATTCGAAAACCTCGCCCTTAGGTCTAGCCCTGTTATTAGACGGCCTAAAGGCGTTGAACCGTTTCTTTCAAAGAAAACGCGAGTCAATTAAAAACCATCGCGTCGCTCCGACCGCCTCTTCTGACGGCGGCGACAAGACTTATCAATGATATCTTACTAGTTCCCAATCTTAAAGAAAATCTCTTAAGTATTGGTCAAATGATAGAGAAAGGATATACTCTCCACTTCGAAAGAGATACATGCATTATCTATGATAAGAAAAATCTAGAGATTGGTCAAGTAAAAATGGAAAAGAGAAATAGAAGTTTTCCTAAAAGCTTCAATCGAGGAACTAACATTGTCATGAAAGTAGAAGTTGATGACTCGTGGTTATGGCATCATAGATTTGGCCACTTAAATACTCATGCCTTAAAGCTACTACATCAAAAAGGCATGATGAGAGATCTACCAAGCCTTAAGGAGAGTAGCGAAGCTTGTGAAGGATGTCTTCTGAGAAAACAACACAGATTACCATTTTCTACGGGATAAACTTGGAGAGCAAAAGACTTGTTGGAGTTAATCCACACAAATATTTGCGGACCGATGAGGACTCCACCGCTTAATAATAACAGGTACTTCATTCTCTTCATTGATGATTTTTCTAGAATGACTTGGTCTACTTCATTAAAGCAAAATTAGAAGTCTTTCGAATATTAAAAAAATTTAAGGCCCTTGTCGAAAAGCAAAGCGGAAAATAGATAAAGGTGCTCAGGAGTGATTGAGGCAAAAAGTACACTTCCCACAAATTTGATAAATTCTGTGAGGATGAAGGTATTGAGCAACAAATTACAATCGCATATTCTCCACAACAGAATGGTGTCTCAGAGAGAAAAAATCACACTGTCATGGAGATGGCAAGATCAATGCTAAAAGAGAAAGGCCTACCTAACACTTTTTGGGCAGAAGCAGTCTACACTGCAGTTTACATACTAAACAGATGTCCAACTAAGACAGTCCAAAACAAGACCCCTATTGAATCTTGGAGTAGAAGAAAACCACCAGCTAAACACCTATGAATATTTGGATCAATTTGCTACATATATGTTCCTGATAAGAGGAGGCATAAGCTTGAAGACAAAACTATAAGTGGAATATTCTCGGGATACAACCAATAATCAAAAGGTTATCGAGTCTATAACCTACAAACAAAGAAACTCGTCATCAGTCGAGATGTTAAGGTTGACGAAAATGCTTCTTGGAATTGGGAAGAAGAATAACTTGTTAGAAGCAACATCCTAGTTCCAGTACAACAACCTAAAGAAGAGACATAAGATCCAGATACGCCTCCACAACAAGAAGAAGAATATACTTCACCAGAGTCTACACCAAGACGTGTAAGATCTTTGGTGGATATATATATATATATATATATATATATATATGAGACTTGTAACATGGCCATCATTGAGCCTTTTTGCTATGAAGAAGCTTCAAAGCAAGAAGTATGAGTCAAGGCCATGGAAGAAGAAATCAAAATGATTGAGAAGAATAATACTTGGGAGTTTGTGGAATGTTCTCATGGAAAAGAGATCATTGGAGTAAAATGGGTATGTAAAACTACGCTTAACTTTGATGGAACCATACAAAAATATAAGGCAAGATTGGTTGCAAAAGGATACTCACAACAACTTGGAATCGACTACAATGAGACTTTTGCTCCAGTTGCTCACCTGGATACAATTAGAACTTTAATAGCCCTTGCTGCACAAAAAGGTTGGAACATCCATCAATTGGATGTCAAATCCGCCTTTCTCAATGGAACACTTGAAGAAGAGATCTAAGTTAAGTAACCACAAGGCTTCATCAACAAAGGCCACGAAGGAAAAGTACTAAGACTAAGAAAAGCTCTATATGGCCTGAAGCAAACTCCTCGAGCATGATATAGCAAAATTGATAAATATTTTATCGATCAAGGATTCAGGAGGAGAAAAAGTGAGCCAACACTTTATATCATGACATAAGGTCAGTATAATCTCATTGTCTCCTTATATGTTGATGATCTCATCTATATAGGAAACAATAAGGAAATGATGAAAGAATTCAAAGAAGATATGATGAAAAGATTCGAAATGACTGATCTTGGCTTGATGAACAACTTCCTCGGGATAGAGGTGATACAACAAAAAGAAGGAATATTTATCTCTCAAAAGAAATATACTGAAGCTCTACTAAAGAGATTCAAGATGTACGGATGTAAACCTATCACTATCCCTTTAGTGGTAAATGAAAAGCTAAAGAAAGATGATGAAGCACCAGAAGTAGATGTATCACGATACAAGAGTTTGATCAGAAGCCTTCTATATCTCATAGCTACAAGTCTTCTATCAAGATTCATGCAAAAGCCAAGCCAGATTCACTATGGAGCAGGAAAAAGGATTTTAAGGTATTTGCAAGGTACACGAGAGTTTAGTATATGGTACAAGACCATAACCAACCCAAGGATGATTTGCTACACCGACAATGATTGGGTAGGATCAATAGACGACATGAAGAGTACGTCAAGATACGCCTTTTCACTTGGATCGAGTTTTTTCTCATGGGCATCAAAGAAGCAAGCAACTGTGGCACAATCAACAGCAGAAGCAGAATACGTAACTTCTACTGAAACTACAAGTCAAGCAATATGACTACTAAGAATACTTGAAGAAATGGGCGAACCACAAGATGAACCAACTACTATCTATTGCGATAACAAATCAGTAATAGCAATGACGAAGAACCCAATTCATCATCAAAGAACAAAAATATAGCTATCAAATATCACTTTATCCGTGAAACTGAAACATCAAAACAAATTTAACTTCAACTTCAGTACTGCTCAACAGAAGAACAAGTAGCAGACATATTTACAAAGGTACTATCGAAAGTAAAGTTTGAACAGTTGCACAATATGTTAGAAATTAAAGAAGTTTGTATCAAGGAGGAGTGCTAAAAATTGATACAAACTTCTAGAATTATGTAGAAAACATATGTGTATGCTAGTTACTAGTAGAAGCTACAACATGATTTTAGAAAAAAAAAAAAAAGAAATGTGTAGAAATAGAATAGTGGAGAAACAATGAAATTAGTAACAAATTCTAGAATTTTGTAAGTAAAACTTATAAATAGGCATAAAGGGAGTCTTTGTATGTGTGGTGGAAAACACTATCAATATAAAACACTACAAAAAAATGCTTATTATCTACGGGTAAAATCCGTTGTAATGACAAAAATCCGTAGGTAATGTCACTTTACCTACGGATTTCTTTCCGTAGAAAATCCGTATGTAATTTGATCGTAGGTAATTACCTACGGATTTTTTTCCGTAGATAGGTAATGCACTCACCTAAACAAAATAATAAATATTTTTATTTATTACAACCCCTCCCCTTTATATTATATTCTCAAAACTTTGAATTATTATTAGATTAAGGAAATTGTCATTGGCAGGATTCGAACCCAATACTTCAAAGTTGGAGATCGATACTCCAACCACTAAGCTATTAGGATATTTTGATAATAATTTACAAATAAATTATATTTATATTTATCCGTGTAAAAATATATATATAAATATAAAAAATATATATATAAATATAAAAAATATATATATAAATATAAAATATATATATATAAATATAAAATATAAAATATATAAATATAAAATATATATATATATATATATATATATAAATATATATATATAAATATAAAATATATAAATATAAAATATAAAATATATTTATATTTATATATTTATATATTTATATATTTATATATTTATATATTTATATATTTATATATTTATATATTTATATATTTATATTTATATTTATATATTTATGTATTTATATTTATATATTTATGTATTTATGTATTTATATATTTATGTATTTATATATTTATGTATTTATATATTTTATATTTTATATTTATATATTTATATATTTACACGAATAAATATAAGTATAATTTAGTTGTAAATTATTATTAGAATATCCTAATAGTTTAGTGGTTGCAGTATCAATTTTCAACTTTAAGGTATTGGGTTCGATTCTTGCTAGTGACAATTCTTTTAGTTTAATATAATTTACCTACGGATTTTCATCCGTGGGTAATATCCGTAGGTAATGTAAAATTTACCTACGGTAATATTCCGTAGGTAATAGGCTTTTTTTTTGTAGTGAAAGTTTCTTTTCTATTAGCTTTTACCCTTTCTCTTACCAAAATCCTTAACTATTTTTCATCCTTAAACATTCCCACATAAGCTTGTTCATTTCAAATAAAACCTTTACTTTCCTTCTATTACTCCATCCCACTTCCAAAATACTAACCATTTATGTTTTGAGACTTGCATGTATAGAGAAGAATACGAGAACAAATGAATAATTTTTTCAATTTATCAAGTGAAATTGATCAAATATCATATGAAAAGTCTGTTGTGTTTAGAACATGGTTGAGAGCAAATGGCTTCCAATAAAAGGAAAATGAGGAAAGAGTCTTAAAACTTCACGCGCTTCATATGTGAAATGCCAGATTGATTGATGAAGAGACTTAAAAGTCTAGTAACTTCTCTCTTTGTAAAGGCAGGAATTCAAATTTATCAAAAAATTTGAATAAATATTTATCACATTGTTATTCCTCTTTTAGGTTAACCCTTCCTTTACCATAATAGTTGCCTCATTTCACCTGTTCATGTTGTTTTTCAAATTTTAGTCTTTCTTGCATATGTATGAAGATTCTTAGCGCCTTTGATTTCTTTCTTCATTTTGTGTATCTCAGATGTGTCGATATTAATAGTAACTCATTATTTTGATGAGTAATTTCTTCGGACAGAAGAAGATTATGTAAACAATTACCCAGAATCTCACTTATCAAATTCCATTGTGGAAGATACAATGGAATCTGACGAATTCACCATAATATATCTGACCCATGCATAATATCATGAAAAATGTTTACAAATTTTTGGCTGCTACATCGCTCCCGAAAAGGAATCTATTGATTATCTCCCAATTGCTTGGACTGTAGGTGCGATGATTTACTTCACGGGCGAGGTCTCTGGTTCAAGTCCAGGATGGCCCAACTGCGTCGAGGAAAAGAATAGAAAACTGACTTGACGATCTCGATATCAGGACATCCTATACCCACTTTTTTTTCGGGAATCTATTTATGGACTAACTTATGGTCATGAGTCCTTTTTTATAGAAAATGTAGATTATAAAAATAAATTTAGTTTACTAATTGTAAAAAGTTTAAGTACTTGACTAATGGCGAAAGCACTCTGCTGGGCCGACACTGACACTGAGATACGAAAGCTAAGGGAGCGAATGAGATTAGATACCCCAGTAGTCCTAGCCGTAAACGATGGATACTAGGAGCTGTGCGTATCGACCCGTGCAATGTTGTAGCTAACGCGTTAAGTATCCCACCTAGGGAGTACGTTCGCAAGAATGAAACTCAAAGGAATTGACAGGGGCCCGCACAAGCGGTGGAGCAGGAGGGGACACCAAAGGCCTCTGCCCTTCCATCCCTTGGATAGATAGAGAGGAGGGGCAGAGTTTTTGGTTTTTTCATGTTGTCAAAGAGTTGAACAATGAAAATGGATGACTAGTGCCAGATCGAATTGATCGGATCCAGTCCAAGTATTCTATTTGGATATTTATTAAAATCACCTTTTGGGGGTGAAGGGTGGATTGTTAGTGTGGACGATTTGGAAGATATAATTGGAGGGCATGTATGGTTGGATTCCATTTGTATACTTGGTGGAATCTGACATATCTTAACCAAACCCTTTGCATGGGCTCGGCGTGCACTTGTATGGTCTGGAGAAGCTTACTTATCTTATAGTTTAGGTGTTTTATCTGTTTTTGGTTTTATTGCTTGTTGCTTTGTCTGGTTTAATAATACCACTTATCCTAGTGAGTTTTATGGGCCCACTGGTCCAGAAGCTTCTCAAGCTCAAGCATTTACTTTTCTAGTTAGAGACCAACTTCTTGGAGCCAATGTAGGATCTGCTCAAGGACCTACAGGTTTAGGTAAATATCTAATGCGTTCCCCGACTGGAGAAGTGATTTTTGGGGGAGAAACTATGCATTTTTGGGATTTGCGTGCTCCTTGGTTAGAACCTCTAAGGGGTCCTAATGGTTTAGACTTGAGTAGACTGAAAAAAGATATACAGCCTTGGCAAGAACGTCGTTCTGCAGAATATATGACCCATGCTCCTTTAGGTTCCTTAAATTTCGTGGGTGGCGTAGCTATAGAGATTAATGCAGTCAATTATGTTTATCCTAGAAGTTGGTTAGCTACTTTTCATTTTGTTCTAGGATTCTTTCTATTTGTAGGCCATTTATGGCACGCAGGAAGAGCTCGCGCAACTGCCGCAAGATTTAGAAAAGGAATTGATCGCGATTTTGAACATGTTCTTTTCATGAATCCTCTTAATTGAGACATGAGATCCAATGAAGTAGAAATCACTTTGATTTTACTATAAATATTGGGTTGAGTTGAGCGAGTCGTATTGCAAAAAGAATTTCTTTTCCTTTTTTTCTTAGTTTCTATCGATTTTTTTTCCGGATTGATATAGATTATTTTATTTGTTTATCTCGGGTTCCAAATTTACATTTTTTGAATTTTCATATAACTGTTCACTAAGCAAAATTTAATAAAATAAAATGAACAAGAAATGAGTTTTTTTAAAATATTAGAATAAAATAAAATATGAATTACTTAAATATAATATCACAGAAAAATTATATTTTATATTTTTTAAAATGTAAATATGATTAAAGATTTTCTAATGATCTATTCGGAGTAGTTTTTATTAAATATATTAGTCATTTTTAAAAATCGAATTGAAATAAATTTTAATTAATTAATTTTAAATAATCGTATTTTAATTAAATTGGGATAAAATAAAAAAAAATTGATGAGATTTTTGGATGAAACCAATTTTAATAAGAAAAAGTTATGATCAAAATTTTTAATATAATTTTTTTTTATAAAAAATATAATATATATTTTAACTTTTTTTATCTTATATTAATTACATAAATTTTAAATAATTATTATTTTATTATATTTTTATTTTATCTTAATAATTATATATTATATTTATAATTTTTATTTTAATATGATAATAATTTTTATTATTTTTTTAATATTAATACTAATAAATTTATTATATTCTTATTATATTATAAAAATATTATTTTATTTAATTTGATTAGAATCCATGTTTACATGGTTGAATATTTAAACATTTAACTTATATTTTCATTGGTTTCATCATGATTTGATTTTAAAAACATTCAACTATCTACAAAATTATGTGAGAGAATACAACATTCAGTCACTCCAAAGAATGAAAAATGATCATAATGGTTTAAAAAACAGTTTCATCTACTCATTTATTTTTCTACCTTCCAGCTATTCAGACATTAAATAGGCTTTGTAAAAAAGTGAGTCTCGTGTTCACCTTCTCATAAAGTCGAAATAATTTCCATGCACCAATCTCTAACCAAACTGCTTCGTTGTACAAAAGGGTATCTATGATACCAAACATGCAATCCAAAAGCCAATGGATACATATGCAGTCGACCGACTAAATAATATATTATAAATAAATATGAAAAAAAATATATAATAGTTTAAATTTATAAATATATATATATATATATATATTTAATAATAAAATATCATAAATATTAATATAAAATTCTAAGAATAATCATGAACTTAAAATCTGTAAGTTATGAATAGAACTTCTGCTGAAGAAAGTTTCTTTCAACAAAAGAACTATTCTCTTAGAAACTTTTATTTTTACCTTCTCACAATGGCTACAACTGAAACTGGGCAGCAGATTACCTTGAAGGTTATGGTAATTAAAGAAAAAAACAAAGTTGTCTTTGCAGAGGCGGGGAAGGAATTTGTGAATGTTCTGTTTAGCTTCTTGACATTGCCTTTGGGAACTATTGTAAGACTTGTGCGTGAGGAGTCAAATATGAAACCAATTCAAGTTGGATCACTGACATCACTCTATCAGAGTGTGGAAAATCTAGACAAGGATTTTCTGTGCACAGATTCGTGCAAAGAAATGATACTGCGACCCAAGAACTCAATGGAGGGTTATTCCAAGAGTCTGAAGCTGAACATTGACGACACAGAACCAACAAAGTACTTCGTATGTAACAACTTACTCAAGTGTCGACTCCAAAGTCCGGTCTTAATAAGCACATTCAAGAACAAAAGATGCAAATGTGGGAACATGCTGGACAAACTCATTTCTCCTGAAAGCAGCTCTGATGATTTTGTTAAGAACAATGGCACTTTTATCATCACGGATGATCTGAAAGTTGTGCCAAACTCATTGAGTACAATTTTTAATCTGTTCAAAATTTCTGGCATAGAAAACATGTCTTCAGTGAATGAAATGACGGTGACTATAACCAACAAACAGGTTTCTATTATTTTACAGTTTCTTGAACTATTATACTGCATTTGGTTTCCTCATTTCATATGTGAATTATGATAAGAATTGTTACCTAAACGGACTAATTTGAAGTTGTGGTGCTAATATATTTTATTTATCCTTTTTACAGTTAAAGGATCTGCTGAAAAGTTGTTTGAGCTCAACAAGATTAACTTTGACAAATTTGTTCTTAGAAAAACCGTTTCTTGAGAAAGTTAGAAAGGTTGAATTTCCTCCCTTTGATATGAATATAGATGGTAGTTTCAAAATCAACGTGACGATAGTGCAGAGAAAATCAAACGGGAAAATAGTGTTTGCTGAAGGAAAAGAAGATTTTGCAGACTTTCTTTTTAGTTTCCTCACATTTCCTTTGGGAGGAGTGGTACATTTGATGGACGACTTTTCTTCTATGTACAAGAGCATTGTTGATTTAGATGAAAATTATTGGACTACAGGGAATATAAAGAATAAACTTGTCGACCCTGGACTTGTCCCGCAGCTATTGTTAAGCAACCATCTACTGCCAGTCTATGATGGCTCCAAATATTTTTGTAACACTCATCACAAAACTAACTATTTTGGTGGAAAAATTGTCGATTCATGTCTTACTGCCTGTTATTTAAGTAGTACATTGAAGCAAGTAACCAGTGACAAAGGTACATGTACAACTTTGGATTTTGTTGATCCTATATTAAAGAGAGGAAATAGTGAAGGATATGCGAAAGGGCCAACAATGTACATGGCAACAGATGATTTAGTTGTGACACCTTTTTCTTCAACTTCTGTTATATCTTTACTAACAAGTATGAACATTCCCTTCAGTGACTTGGAAGAGAAAGAGGTTGGCATTGGAATCAAGGAGGTAAGAAAGTTCATAGAGTTACATAGATGGAACCTTTCTGTAGTATATTGCATGTACTTCGTTTATGAGAATATTATGCTGTTGTGATGTAAAGTTCCTTTGTTGGTGCAGGGAGTCGGAATCCTACAGGCATCATTGAAATCAAAATCAGCCCTAACAACTGGTCTCAGCCACTTAGTTAAGCAGGAGAACTAAGTAATCAATTATGTTGTTCGTTATTTGAGACGCATTCTAGACTAAAAGTCGTATAAACAACATGAAAAATTCTTACTTTTTTTTTCCTTTTATTTTGAGTTTTGTTGTGTCTTACAGAGTTGTATCCACACTCTGCTTTTTAACATATTTAATCTTTTAGACATCTAATATTATATTTTCTTTACAGTCCAATCATGACACAAAGTTACCGTCTAAAATTTGAACATTGAACTATATAAAATTAAAATCACTTTTCGATGGACTAACACGAAGAAAGTGATGAAAATGTTGTTGTATGATAGTTTTAGAGAATTTTAAAGGTAAACATGCTTGAAGAGACAAGGAGTTCATACTATTTATGATTTTGTTACACCAAATTTAATAATTATTCTTACAAAACATTTATAATTTTAATTTCTTTAAATTTAATGATTATTAAATATATATATTTATATATTTACAAATTTAATTTATCATTCTTTCGTATTCTTTTTATTTTTTTATATTTATATGTAATATATTATTTAACTTCCTTAATATAATATAATAGTCAAGATACGTCAGTAATAATAATCCTGATAAGAAAAGGGGAATTGCTCTTTAGATATATTAAATAAAATATATCCCAAGATATATAAAATAATAGACATTATTTTGCTGCATTTAAATAAAATATACCAATAACAAATAAAATGAAAGGTCTTTTGTGGAGGTTGGATGGTGGCAACGGGTTTGATCTTGAATTTTCATGGGGAATCATAATTGATTATTAGTAAAATGAAAGCAACGAAGAAGACTATTAAATTAGAATAAATTACAATCTAGTATGTTTTGAAGTTGGAATAATGTATCTTTAACTAATTTAAAAATAATTTTCTAAATCAGTAAAATCTGATCTAAAACCTAACTTAACTACTCCATGCATTTTTAAATATATAAAGTTTTGTTAAAAAAAAATTGTTTCAATTTTGTAAAGTTTAAAAGTATATTAATTATTCTTTTATCAATTATATTCTCATCTTTTTTTATTATTTATTGCAGAGAATATAACAAGAGTGATTTAAATATTAAGATGATAAAAGTATTAATAAAAAATATTATCAAAATTTTTTAAAATAATGAAAGTTAATGATTATCTTAATTCATATTGTTTAACCTTAAACATAATATATTTTAAAATAAAGGGAATATAAATATATAATAGATAAATACAGAAAATAATGATTTTTTTCCTTATTGATTCATTATGTATTATTTGATGCATAATCGCACTTTGAAACAGTAATATAGCTATAATTCTGTTTAATGTATTACATATTTTTTTATACAACGAATATTGTGGATTTTCTTTTTAGTATAATAGAAAAAAAAAGTCTTAATACGAAAGGGATAGTTTTGTTCGAGTTTTATTTATACAAATGATCCGTTAAATGCTTTTCTAGATATTCATATTTAAGTTTTATTTGCGAGTAGGCATCATTCCTATTATTAATATTTGAGTTTTGTTTTTTGTTTTATGGAGTACTCTCATTTTAGATTTGATTGATGGTATTTTTAAATTTATGGACTTTCCTTGATAATAAAATGTGTCCTATTAATTTAATATAGTTATTATATTTTGTAATGACATAATTTTTTTATTAGCAAAATTTTTAGTATAATCTTTAATTTCATCGTTATTTTCTTTAATATTTACTTCAATTTTAAGAAAATATTCAATCATATAATTTAATAACACCTTGATCATTGCAATAATTTAAAAATGTCTTTTAACTCTATTTTTATATTTATTTTAGGAATCACATTAGTCTATGATTGTTTTAATTCTCTACTAATTTTGTGTTGGAGAATATTTTTTATAAAAAAATTCAAATGAATTTTATCAAGTTTTTTTTTCTATTTCTTTTGAATAATAATTTTATATTTTAGAAATTTAATTTTCAATAGTTACACTAGCCATAAATTTTCAAAATTTGTTGTCTTGGAGATTTTTTTTAAGATAAAATTCTCGCTGCACTCTTGCAACTTTTTTTTTCAAATAATTTTGAGTAATATTATTATATCTAAGGAATTTATTTTTCGAAGTTACATCGAGTCAAGAATTTCTACAATTTTTTTTGTTATAATTTTTTTTAAATAAAATTTCACTGCACCCTTTTAAGTTTTTTCTCCCCTGTAATTTTGAGTAATATTCTTATATTTTAGAAATTTAGTTTTCGTAGTTATACTAGTAAGAAATTTCTACAATTTTTTTGTGTTGGAGAATTTTTTTAACAAAATTCCACTCCACCCTTTCAAACTTGTTATTTTTTAAAAATTTTCTTGTAGTTTTGTATTTGAAAATATTTTAGTAAAAAAATTTCCCTGTACTCTTTCAAGCTCGTTTTTTTTATTTTTCTATTTGTATTAAGTAATATTTTAAAATTTAAAAAATTTATTTTTCGTAGTTACACCATTTAGAAATTTCTATAATTTTTTGTGTTGGGTAATATTTTTATTAAAAAAATTTCACTACAGATTTTCAAGCTCGTTTTTTTAGTAGTTTTTTTGTTATGAAGTTCTTTTTTAGCAATAAATTCTATTCTACTCTTTCAAACAATTTTTTTCTATTTGTTTTGAGTAATATTTTTAAATTTTAAGAATTTAGTTTTCGTAGTTACACCAACAAAAGATTTCACTACATTCTTTCAAACTCAATTTTTTTTTCTATATTTTTAGTAATATTTTTATATTTTAGGAAATTAGTTTCGTAGTTACACCAGAAATTTCAACAATTTTTTATGTTGGGATTTTTTTATTTCACTCCACTCTTTCAAGCTTTTTTTTTTATTTTCTAGTTGTTTTATTTTGGGAAATTTTTAATAAAAAAATCACTGCACTCTTTCAAGATTTTTTTTCTATTTGTTTTGAATAAAATTTTTACATTTTAGGAATTTAGTTTTCATAGTTACACGAGTCGAAATTTCTACAAATTATTTTGTTGGGACATTTATTTAGTAAAAAACATTTCACTGCACTCTTTCAAGCTCGATTTTTTTCTTTTCTATTTATTTTGATTAATATTTTAATATTTAGGAATTTAGTTTTCGTAAATACACCAGTCAAACATTTCTATAATTTTTTATGTTAGGGAGTTTTTTTTAAAAAAAATCCTACTACATTCTTTCAAGCTCATTTTAATTCATTTTTTGGTAATTTTGAATAATATTCTTACATTTTGTGAATTTAGTTTCCGTAGTTACATTAGTCAAGAATTTCTAAAAATTTTTATGGGGAATTTTTTTATTAAAAGAATTCTATCTGCACTCTGTCAAACTCATTTTTTTATTCGTTTTGAGTAATATTCTTCTATTTTAGGAATTTAGTTTTCGTAGTTACACTAGTAATAAATTTCTACAATTGTTTGTCTTGGGAATTTTTTTATAAAAATGTCACTACACCCCTTAAAACTAGTTTTTTTCTAGTAGTTTTGTGTTGGAAAATTTTATAAATAATTTTTTTTACTATGTCGTTTCAAGCTCATTTTTTTTATTTTTTTATTTGTTTTGAGTAATTTTCTTATATTTTAGGAATTTATTTTTCATAATTACACTAGTCAAAAATTTCTATAATTTTTTGTATTTGAAAATTTTAGTAATAAAAAAAATCTACTGCACTCTCTCAAGCCCATTTTTTTAATTTTTCTAATAGTTTTGAGAATTATTTTTACATTTTAGTAATTTAGTTTTCGAAGTTACATACAGATCTGAAATTTCTACATTTTTTTGTTTAGGGAATTTTTCTGCTACACTCTTTCAAACTTATTTATTTTTCATTTTTCTAGTAGGTTTGTGTTAAGGATTTTTTTTTAAATAAAAATTTTTTAGTGCACTCATTCAAACTCCTTTTTTTATTTTTCTAGCAGTTTTGAGTAATATTATTATATTTTAGGAATTTAGTTTTCATAGTTACACTGGTCAGAAATTTTTACAATTTTTTGTGTTAGAAAATAATTTTAATAAAAAAAATTATACTGCACTCTTATAAAAAAATTTCCTATTTGTTTTGAGTAATATTTTTCATTTTAGGAATTTAATTTTCATAGTTATACCAGCTTAAAAATTTCACTGTACTTTTTCAAGCTCGATTTTTTTTTTGAGTAATAATTTTATATTTTAGGAATTTTGTTTCAGTAGTTATACCAATAAGAAATTTCTACAAATTTTTTTAGAGAATTTTTTTAATAAAGAAATTTCACTACACTCTTTCAAGCTCGTTTTATATATTTTTCTACTAATTTTGAGTAATATTCTTATAGTTTATGAATTTAGTGTTTGTAGTTACATTAGTTAAATTTTTTTATAAGTTTTTGTTATGGAGATCTTTTTTAAGAAAACAAAAACCCATTGCGCTCTTGCAAACTCATTTTTTTCTTTTTCTAATAGTTTTAAGTAATATTATTACATTTTAAGAATTTAGTTTTCATAGTTCCACCGGTCATAAATCTTTACAATTTTTTTGTTGGAGATTTTTTTTATAAAAATATGTCATTGTACCCTTTGAAATTCCTTTTTTTCTTATAGTTTTGAGTACTATTCTTATATTTTAGGAATTTAGTTTTCATAGTTACCCTTGTGAGAAATTTCTGTAACTTTTTGTGATGGAGAATTTTTTAAAAAAATTCTAGTACATTATTTCAAACTCGTTTTTTTTCTAGTAGTTTTGTGTTTGAGAATTTTTTAGTAAAAAAAATTCATTACACTCGTTTCAAACTTGTTTTTTTTTATTTGTTTTGAGTAATATTCTTACATTTTAAGAATTTAGTTTAATAATATTCCATTTTAGGAATTTAGTTTTTGTAGTTACACTAGTTAGAAAATTCTACAATTTTCTATGTTGAGGAATTTTTTTAATTAAAAAATTTCATTGTACAGTTTCAAACTCATTTTTTATTATTTGTTTTGAGTAATATTCTTACATTTTAGGAATTTAGTTTTTAGAGTTACACTAGTAAAAAATATCAACCACATTTTGTGTTTGGAAATTTTTTAAATAAAATTTTTTTACTGTACTCATTTAAAATCGTTTTTTTATTTTTCTTATAGTTTTGAGTAATATTCTTATATTTTAGAAATTTAGTTTTCGTAGCTACACCAGTAAAAAATTTCTATATTTTTTTTTGTTGGGTAACTTTTTTAATAAAAAAATTTCACTATATTATTTCAAGCTCGTTTTTTTAATTTTTAAGTAATATTCTTACATTTTATAAATTTAGTTTTCATAGTTGTACTAGTTAGAAATTTTTACAATTTTTTGTGTTTTGGAATTAAAAAAAAATTACTGCACTTTTTCAAGTTCGCTTTTTTATTTTTCTATTTTTTTAGTAATATTCTTATATTTTAGGAATTTAGTTTTTGTAGTTACACCAACCATAAATTTTTTCAATTTTTTATGTTATTTTGTTAATGACAAAGGGGAAGAAAGAAAATGTAGTGTTTATGATATCATGCATACATGAGTCTACATAAATTTTCCATGCATAGTCCATATTAAAAATTCACACATGTATTATACAATTCATTAATACATTGTCTCAAGTGAGTGTCATCTCAAAATTCATCACAAACCTAATGATATTTGTCATCACCAAAAATGGGGAGATTGTTAGAAACAAAAATGAAATCCATGATTTTGAAGATAACAAATATGATTAAGTTTTGGAGTATTTAACTTGTGTGTCATAGGAAATAAATTAATAATCATAGATCGAACTAGTGAATTTTATACGTAGAATAATTATGCATTATTAAGTGAAATTCAAACATACGAAAAAAGATATATATGATTATATGCTAATGAAATCAAAATGTGAAAAAGGGAATTGCATATAAGAATAAATGTCAAACGATCAATATTCAAATATTATCCTATGATGGAGATATACTATTGTTAGAAATGTAGGCTGAGATCAAGAGGGGGGTGAATTGATCTTTGAAAGATTTTCGCAATTTACAGATTATCTATTTCAAAGATTAAGAATTCTGACCAGTTCTTGAATCACACACAGCAAGCAATCAAAATAAAGGCAGTGACAGAATTAAATGAGAGAAAGGTTTAGAAAGATACAACCAAGATTTATATTGGTTCACCCAATCCCAGGGCTACGTCCAGTTTCCAGTCAAATTCCAGCTGGGTTCCACTAGATTGAACGTTTTACAGATTACAACTTTAATCTCACACTCAATCTACCACAAGAACCAAAATTTCAGTCCCTGCACCTAAACCTTCACCAAGAACCAAATTTCAGTTCTTGAACAACCCTACAGCCAAATTCCAGCCACAGAAACCAGTGCCCACAATTTCAGGCACCCACAATACAATAAAGAAAGTAAAGAAACAAATAGAAGAAACTAGAACGCTCAAACCAGATTTATGTAGCTCTGCAGTATGAGTTTCTTCTCCAAAAGAATGCAAATTTTGCCTCAAGAAATAACTTCTATGAACTTCACAAAACTAGTGTGATTCTCTCTTGAAAGTAGCACTTATGATTGCTTGATTGATTGCTAAACGATATATTTTAAAAAGTTCAAACAACTCTGTTTATATAGAAGATTTTCAAAACTACTGGTTTATTTAATCTGTTAAAATAATCTTTTAATCTGTTAAAAGTCTTATTTTAATTTGTTAAAACTTCTTTTAATCTGTTAAAAAGTTATTGATTATTTTCCAGATTTGTTTTAACTGATACTGATCATCGTTTATATCAATTAAAACTCTTTGTAACAAATCTTCCAAACTGTTTTAATCGATTGTTTCGTCTTTCAATCGATTAAAATACTGCAAAACATTCTTATAAACTTTTCTAAGTGATTTTAACTGATAACAATATGTTTTAATCGATTAAAACACTTTGAAAAAAGTTCACTTAGTTATTTTAATCGATTGAAACGCATTTTAATTGATTATAATTCTGCCAAAAGATTTCATAAAACTTTCTAAGTTATTTTAACTGATAGCAAGCTTGTATTAATCGATTAAATCATTTTGGAAAAACCTCTTAGTTGTTTTAATCGATTATTTCGTATTTGTATCGATTAAAATACTGACAGAATAACTTTCAAAACACTTCAAGTTATTTCAATCGATTATTTCGAGTTTGTATCGATTAAAATTCTGCCAGAACACTTTTCAAAATATTCTAAGTCATTTTAATCGATTATATCAATTCTATATTAGTTAAAATACTCGACGTAAGATTTTCAAAAATCCTTCTAATTAAAACAATCGATTATTTCAAAAACATATCGATTAAAAACATGTTACAAAAGTGTTAAGAACATTTTAGTTGATAAAGCTTATATACTATTAGTTAAAATAGTTAATTAAAACCCTTTTAACAAAATACTTTGTTTTTAACCGTTTAAACATTTTTTAGAGGCATTTGCAAAATCTTTTAAATGAAGAAACCTCATGCACAGAGAGATAAAAATGATTATACCTAAGCAGAGATGCAGACTCACTAATCTCACTACTCTTTTATCTAAGTGACCTTTGACTGCCACAAAGTAGCCTTTGACTTCATTTTTTACTTCATCAAATCAACAAAATCTTTGCCAAAGTAATTCAATAAGATCTTCATCACTTTCAACTATAACAAGAATCAAGTAACAACACAACAAATAATATTAAGACTTTCCAAAAAAAGATGAAGAATATTTAAGTATACATATTTGTTCAAGATATATAGAGGGAAATATTTTTCCCCAATCATCATGTTTACATGAAAAAAAGGAAACATACAATATGCTGCAAAGATGTGTATAAGGAAAGTATTTGAATTGGACAATTGAATAATATCAAAATATACTAAAAGAAGATTTTATGCCAAGAGGAATATTAAGAATATCATATTATTGAAAAAATGTTTCTAGAAAATAATAAATGTTAAAGATTCTATAGGCACAGTTTGAAGCCTATAAAATGAGGAGTTCACTGACTAAATCACAACACAACAATTATAACACTTATCTGAGTTACAATCTTTTGCATAATAATCATATTAAACTCATTTGTAACACTCAACATTGGAATAACTTGAGGATCGACCTCCACTCCAACTATCTCATCCTCATCCATATCAATTTTGTTACCTTTGATTTTTGTTTTCCTCGTTGTATCCTTCTTGACCACAACTCCACCTCCGCGAATATTTTCTCGACTCCACGACCTCTTCCTTTACCTTGAGTGTTTTGAGAGTAAAGTGTCTTCTCATCTTTAATAGACGTCTTGAGCTGGAGTGCTTGCTCAAGTGTCTCCTCCTCCTTCTTTTGTTTCTCATGCGTCTCAAGAGAACCAACTAACTCGTCTATTGTGAGCGTTGCAGGTTCCTTTGACTATTCTATTGCATATACAATGTTCTCAAATATTGGGTACAAGAAGGGAAAAGAACACCTGCACACAAAACTTAATCAGCAGAAGCACACACCCACAACAAACAATTAAAAGCACACAAAATCACACTCAAAACAAACAATTAAAAGCACACAAAATATTTTAACGTGATTCAGCACCTCAAGGCCTACATTCACGAACACAATTAACAATATTTTATTACTCAACGTGCAATTTTTAGGACTGAAAAATTACAAAGTCTCACATACAATTTTTGCTCGAAAAATTGTAAACCCTTTCTGACTCACAACTCACTCTAACCCCTTATACATAAAAGAAACTTTTTTAAATTGTGGTATCTACTACTCACCTCAATCCCTTATTTTTATAGTGGTTTCCTTCCACTCCCTTTTTCAAACTACCCAATGTGGGACTTTGGAGAATACACACTTTTGGGCACAACATCGAAGTCATCTGTCAATGACCTCAGAATTTTCTCCGCAACTCAGTCATTAAGTAATTTTTCTCCATTTCAATTTAGTTGGTTCACCAAAATTCAACACGAGTAATGAAAACTTCTTTCAATTCCTTTACCTTCGTACTTTTCAACTCGTCATATAGTGTTTCAAGTCATACTTACTTAAGTCGGTTAGCTCTTTTGTATGCCCTTTCTTAAAATCTCTCATGCTTTTTTTGAGATTAAAGCATTTATTATTTTTTCGTCGGACTCATTAACTTTTCAGTACAATATGTACATAGGCGCCATGTCCTTCAAAAACATTTCTTTAATTTTTTTTTTAGTCGTTGAGTATGTCGTGGTACTTTATGATTCTTCCAAACCATCCAACACCACTTCCCAATATTTTTTAGATTCAAGAATAACTTTCATCTAAATTTTCTTAGTTGTAATAATTTTTTACTTTGGTCAGTTGGAGTAGGAATAAACTATTTGTCATACTTGTCATCACTCTATCCATCTCACTCAAGTTTGAGAAGAAAAATTTCTTCTATTTTGTATTTATTCACTCACTTCAACATCAATATAATTGTGAATTTATAAACTAAAATAACACTTTTTAGTTCCAAGTCTTATTATATTTTATTAATCACATATAATAAAAACACATAACTACTTACTCATTACCATTCACTTTTACATCTAAAACTGCCAAATTAAAATACTTAATATTATTAAATTTCATTCATCAAGCAACACATGCATGACATTTTTTTTTTTATTATTGTATCGCTCTTAAAAGGAAACAACAAAACGGATATGGGATACAAGGTACATGTTACATATTTCTAGAATTAGAAAACCTACACAAATTGTCCACTATAAAGTAGTAACAATTTAATGTGATCAATTCCATGTAGTAAAGCCATGCTTGCCTCCAGTAAGGATTGATATATAAAGCTGCTGCAGTTGCCAACAATGCTAATGTGTATGCCACAACAAAGCTCACACAAAAAGCATACATGTCCACCAAACTACCATCGTCTTTGTCAGTGTCCGAGTCCTTTGGAATAACTGTAGAAGCTGGATTGCAACTCTTTGGCAGTGGAGGTCCACAAAGGAATGGGTTACCCTCGTAGCTGCTTTCATCAAATGTGGAAAATTGTCGTGTTCGTTCAGGTGTTGGGCCTGACAAGTTGTTGTGCGCCACACTAAATACTGCAAGTGAGGTTAGGATATTGAGTTGAGCAGGAATTTGACCACTTAACATGTTGAAAGAAAGATCTAAACTCTCTGTTTGTACCAATTTCGAGAACGAATCTGGTATTTGTCCGATCAATTCATTATGAGACAAGTTCAATACATGGATGCTTGTCAAGTTTCCAAGCTCATATGGGATATTCCCCTTCAGTTTATTCTGGGATAAGTCAATTCCAGACATATAAGCAAGGATACTTCCTGCGTAAGTATCGACTCTTTTCTTTGAAGTGAAACTTGCTTTCTCTTTCTTTTGTTCTGTTCGTAATGTTAGTACTTCAGCTATATAATCTCCAACTGAGAAGGTCCCACGATTTTCTTTTAATAATGGATCAAGGTTCTTATTATTAAAAGGCATTTTGCCCAAGCAATGGGGAATTGTATTAGAAAAATTATTGTGTGAAAGGTCTAGCATGGTTAAATCTATCAATCGACATAACTGCTTTGGTATATCCCCAGTAAAGTGATTATCTCTTAAAAGGAGAAAATGTACGTTTGTATAACTAAGGTCATGTATCAAATCTTGAATGTTGCTAGATATTTCATTGTAGCTAAGGTCTAGCATCACCAAAGGAGAGTCTCCATTGAACAGTTTTTGGGGCAATCCAGTTAACTGATTATTGTTCAAATGGATAAATCTCACAGAAGAATTTAGAAATGATGGAAGAACACCAGTCAAATTATTTTGGGCGAGATCTAAAAGTAATAGATCTTCAAGTTGTGCCAATTCTAATGGAATGAATCCTTCAAAGTGGTTATTGGACATATGAAGTTCCAATAATTCTGACAAGTTTTTGATAAGGTTTGGAATTTTTCCAACCAAATGATTATTGCTTACATCCAATGAAATGATGGATGTGTTGAAAATGTGGCTTGGGACTCTACCATTAAATTTATTATCATTCAATAACAAGTACTCCAAATCAGTGGGTATTGTAAAAATAGACCCCTCGAGATTATTGTTTGAAAGTTTCAACAAATGGAGTCGATGGCCAGCGCCAAATATGTCCTCTGATATTTCTCCGGATAATTGATTGTTGGAAAGATCCAACTCCTCCAATAATTTCATTTGTCCTAACTCACGAGGAATTGAACCTTGGATGTGGTTGCTAGACAAGTATAGATATTGCAAATTTGGATATATTGAGCTGATATTCTTGCTTGGGATTTGGCCAATTATGATATTGTCAGACACATCAATCTTCTCTATCTTAGGAAGGGAATGCGATGGTAGTTGCATAGTACCAGTGAAAGAACAATTTCTAAGAAGAACTTCAGTCAATTTTGTGTTGTTTTGAAACAACCAGTGAGGAAACTCTCCTTCCAACCTACAACTACTTAAATCTAAGCTAGTCAAGTTGTTTTGATGAAGAAGAAACCTGGGGAGCGGAAGAGAATTATTCTCAGTCATTGAAGGCAAACACAGTACTTGTAATTGAAATTTAGGAATCCAAGTTTGCAGACTAGGTTGTAAGTCCAATATGACTTTGTTGCCTTCACCATCGATGGACTTTAGGTTTGAATGATTGGCAAATGGTGCAAAAGAAAGAGGGACCTCGAATTGATTTCCTATGAAACCAAAATGTTCAAGTGATGTAAGGCTAGCAATTTTAGAATCAAACTGTCCAATGAAGTGATTTTGAGAAAGTTCCAATATCCGAAGAGATGTCATGTTAACAAAAGATGAGGGAAGCGGTCCATTAAATTCATTACTGCTTAGATCTAACTCTTCCAGCTTCTTCAGTTTAGACCAATCTGAATGAAATTTTGAAGAAAAAAGAAATCATCTTGTAAGATACATAAACATAATTAATTTTATGAAAAGCATAAAAAAGAAAGCTCATAATAATATAATTACCAGCGTGAGGAAGATTGCCATTTATTTGACAAGATAAAAGAGAAAGAAATTTTAAAGAAGTCAATTCTCCAATACTCATGAAAAACTTGTTTTCCATGTTACTACTGCCATCCAATTCCAAATATTTTAGGTTACTTAAGTCCTTAAAATCTGCACAGTAGAAAAAAATTTGACATGAAGGTTAATGTAACAACAATGAAATTAATTTACCCAGAGAAATTCATGAATATTACTACCTCCCGCAACAATTGTTCCATTAAATGTATTGCGAGACATAGAAAGGACCCGAATAGATGATGATAAAGCTCGTAATGAGTCCCTGAGCTTGTTTCCATCTATCATATTCCCATCTAAAGCAAGGACATCCAATCTACTTAAACTTTTTGAGCCTGAAAGATACATGTAACTCGAAAACATGTAAATATAAACTTTAAATAGGCTAAATGTGACACATCAGATATGTTCATAAGCTAAACAACAAATTAAAACATTTTAATTTATTTTTCTTCAATACCTTGACGGACCACAAAATAATGGATATTATTATAGCCTAGATCAAGATTCGTCAAGTTGGTCAAAGTTGATAATCCTGGAAGATAAATAAAGAAGCAATAAAAAATGTAGGATATGATTGGTGAAGGGTAATATTTTTGTTCACTCCTGAAAACACTGACCACTGATATCTACCAATCCTTCTAACTGATTATAGCTTAAATCAAGGGATTTGAGACTTCCAAGCCCACTTAGAGATGAAATAAATTTGTTGCCCAAACTGCATTCCCTCAAGCTTAGGACTTGTAAATTGGTCGGCCATGTAAATTCATTCTCTGATAAAAACAAAATTGAAAGCATGTGGTTATGTGTGTACTCAGATAAGGAACATGCATTAATTGAGTTTAAGTTAAGACCAACGAACCTGAACGCCACAAGATACTCTCATTCAACTGGTTCGCAGATAAGTCAAGGTTCTCCAAAGAAGTCAATTTTGATATATCTAACAATATATATTCCGATTATAGACAGTTAGATATATTTTTTAATCACAAACAAATAGGATGAAGATTTCTAATATGGAAAGTATGGCGTACTAAAAGTTGATCTCCAACTCAATTGACTATATCTTAAATATAAAGACTTGAGGGATGAAAGTCCACTAAGAGCAGATCCAATATCACTGTCCTTGAAGTTGTTTCCGGACAAGTCAAGGACCTTAAGATTCCTCAATTTCGAGCATAAACCTGAAAGGAATGTATATCCTCGTTAAATAAGAAGTAACCCACTGCTTAGGTATATTATTGAAATGGAAATATTATATGCTACCTTCAATGTGAAGATCTGAGTCCAATTCATTGTCAGACAAATGCAGTTCCTTTAAAGATGTGAATCCCTCGAGGGATGGCAAGATGTCATTAGTCAAATAGTTCCCACTTATGTCAAGGACCTCCAGATTACGAAGCTTTGATGAGAGAGTTTCAAAAACTTATATATGCACACGTGTATTGAATAGAAACAAAATTGTATAAGAAGCCAACAAATTGTGAAAAAATAAATAGTATAAAAATTAGAAGATCATCATCGATCGTAATCAGACATATTATTGTTGTCTTTTTTTCAAAATAAAAAAAGAGAAATATAGGTAGTCTCACCGTGGTTGAATTAATATGTATTGAACGTGTTATACGATAAATATAGAGACTTGAGAGATGAAAGGCCATCCAAGCAAGATAGAATGCTGGCAGCATTATCCAGCTTGTTATAACTAATATGAAGGACCTCTAGATTTGTCAACTCTGCAAAGTATGTAAAGTAAAGTTGAATCATCCATACAACATTTAACATGCACATTCATAGAATTTTTATGGATTAACCTTCTTCCCTCACACAACCAAAGATATTATTAAATGACAAGTAGAGCTTCTTCAAATCTTTGAAGACGGACAAATCAGAGTAGTTAATGTACTGTTCACGTGATTCCCGCAGCATTAGTTCTGCCACTCTCCCCGTGGAGGAGTTGCACTTCACTGCTTCCCGTTCACAACAATATTCTATATCCGACGTGAAAGGGATTTGGAAACGGGAAGATAAGGCCGAAAGGCCAAGTCTGTCTTGCTTGGAGCATGATTGAGAGGAGATGGCTTGCAATAGAAGGAAAAGGAGGAAAGAGAGTCTCACAATCTTCATTTTCCTCTTCATGACTTCAACCATTTGCTCTCCATCCTTTAAATAGGAAACATGCATATTAGCCATTCTCCATTGATTTTTTTCACGTCCTTCACAGAGTCTAAAATATTTATTTGTAAATATGACGCGGTTTTATGCTTTATTGCCTTTCTGAACACCTTCTAGAAAAGCACCCCGTAGTGGAAAGGTTGTGGAAATTGCATGCAGTGTTCCATTATTTAGTTGTGGTGGAAGACTTGACTCTGTATATGTTTTTTCTTCTTTTGACCAAGGCACTTCTCGTCATGATTTTAGTTTCATTATAAACCCACTTAAATAATTTGGTTATTATAACTATAAATAAAATTCATGATATAATTCATAAATCTAAAATATCATTTTTATATTTAATAATATAATGTATCATAAATTTTAATTATAATATAATTTATACAAAATAAATATGAGTTTATATTACACATATAAAGATTAAGGAAAAATAAAGAAGGCTGACTTGAAGTCAGCCTAAATGCAAAAAAGACCACCGAGTCAGATTAGCATATTAAATTCATGATTGACATACCACTGAACTCACTATGTTTCCATTTAACAATTTCTCCTTCATAAATATCTACTAATATATTTGAAATGTTTAATACTTTATGTTAGAGAATGTTTTGAAATTTTCATATTAATTAAAAATATAAATAATTTATAATACATAAATGAATATAAATAAGTTATAAATATAAATTAATATAAATCTATTTGATAATTATATTCTGTATAAGTGAATATTTGTTGATATAGTTAGTCTATAGTTTAATTATTATTTTTAATTTTGATTTTGTTTTTTATATACACAAATATCATTATAATATATAAACTTATTTGATCATCTCAAATATATAATTATGCTTTAAATATACAATTATGTTTTAAGAACATAATTATGTTTTTTTCCCATAGTGATAGTTAAATCTAAAATTTCAATTTAGGATAATGTTATTGAAAACAACAATACATTAGCAGATAGTTATAGTTCAAAGTATGATAAAATTATTTTGGTAAAATCAAATTTAATTTATTAAATGATATTAGAATATGTTTTGGACAAAATATTTTATTATAATTACGAGATTGAAGTCAAATAATTCAGTGGCAAATAAATTATTCTGAGGGATAGAAGGCTTGTTTTGTAACTTCAAATTAGTTAATTTTATTTATCTTTTAAATTCATAAATTACATTCAAGATTATTACATTTATTTCTGTTCTATAAAAAATTTCGACGTGCATATGCTTTTTTTTAATAACAAAATTTTTTTTATTAGCAAAAATTTTTAGAATAAACTTTAAATTCATCGTTATTTAATATATACATTAATTTAAAAAAATATTCAATCATATAATTTAATGACATTGATCATTGCAATAATTTAGAAAATGTTTTTTAAAGTTAATTTTATATTTTATTTTACAAACACTTCAATAATTTTCAACTCGTGTATACATTATGTGGATATTGATGATCATTTACTGAAAAATACTTACCTTTTTATTACGTGAGAATTTATAAGAAAAAACATATTTAAATAAATGATTTAGTATTTTATTTATTTATGATTGAATACATTATTTTATAAAACAATATTAATCATATGCTTTTATATTAAAATATACTAAAAAAATTAAGGCCATAAATACATTGATATTTAAAAATTATAATATCTAGTATTTTTACTGTGATTATTATGATTGAGAATAATTGTCCTGTACCGTTGTGGAAAGTAGCATACCACAAGGAATGGATACTAGTCTTGCTGATGATTTCCAATTAACTATATCATCGTATAATTCAGTTAATTTACATGTTTATCACTGTATTATTACTTTTTAGTTGTGAGAGGTTATGAAAGGGTTTTTCAATTTCACTTGGCGGCGTATTTTTAAAAGTCAAATTAAGAAATATAATGCACATTGAAAAGTTGAAAAGAGCAATACATACTGACCAATCACAATAAACACAAAGTAAGATTACAATTAAATGATATTATACATTTATTATCTACAAAAAAAATTATAAATAGTGACCAAAAATATGATTACTAAATTATCAAAATTGATCATTAACTAATAACTAACTTATCAAAATTGATCATTAACTACTAATTAACTTGAATCGATCATCCTTTTTTTGTCACTGAGAATCAATAACTAAATCGAAAATATGAAATTCATCTATATATTAATTACTAATTTTAGTTTTTTATTTTATTATATACAACTTTTAAGATATAATAAACCTAAGAGAAATATAAAATTTGTCACAATACCACAATTTGAAATAAGCATCAAAATAATATTATAAATATTCATCAAAATAAAATTACAAATATTGTTCAACACAAAATCGTCACTCATTATGTACTTTTTTACATATTAAATTTCAATATAAACATATAGAAAGCTGTATTGTCGAAAGTAGCAAAATTACACTTAGAAACACAAGAAGGTGAAACTAAAGAAGCTTGAAGATTTTTGAAGATTTTTACAACACTTGATAACTGTATTAAAAAGAAATAAATAATAATTAGAATCTATATAAATAATAATCCCATATATAATCTTATTAAAGAAATGGATAATAGTTAGAATCTATATAAATAATAATCCCATAAATAATCATAATAAAAAGAAAAAGTCACCTAAAAATTTGAAAATGCAGCTAGGTAAGCAAAATAGCCTCGTATAATAAAAAAATGACACAAATAAATATAGAAGTTCGGATGAACCGGTATAATTGTCACAAGTACAAGGCCTTTCTTTTAGGGTATGGGAATGACATGTAAATTTTTAAACTATGAGAGATGTTTTTAACGATGAGAAAACTAACATAATCCCACTACAAGAAATTTTAATAATGGTCAAAATCCATCGGAAATTCAGTAAATATTACCGAACGGATTTAATAGTCCGTCGGTATTTAGCGACGGATATATCCGTCGCTAAATATTTTACAAAATTACCGACTGAACAGGAATCTGTCGGTAATATTTTTATTATTTATTAAATATTTTACTTATATAGTTTATTTATTTTATTTTTTTATTATATTCCCTTATTACATTTTTATAGTCTTCAATTATTATCAGATTAAGAGAATTGTCATTGGCAGGATTCGAACCCGAGCACCTTAGAGTTAGAGGCGATACTCCAACCATCGAGCTACCAAAATTTTTTAATAATAATTTATAAATAAATTATATTTATATATTTATATATTATATCACTACAAAAAAACGCTTATTATCTACGGGTAAAATCCGTAGGTAATGTTACTTTACCTACAGATTATAATCCGTAGGTAATGCATTCACCTAAACAAAATATTTTTATTTCCTACAACCCCCAGTACCTCGAGTTGGAGGTCGATACTCCAACCACTAAGCTATTAGGATATTTTGATAATAACTTACAAATAAATTATATTTATATTTATCCGTGTAAATATATAAATATAAAATATATATAAATATAAATATATTTATATTTTGATATATTTATATTTTAATATATTTATATATTTATATTTATGTATTTATATATTTATATATTTACATATTTATATATTTACACGAATAAATATAACTATAATTTATTTGTAAATTATTATTAGAATATCTTAATAGCTTAGTGGTTGGAGTATCGATTTTCAACTTTAAGGTAATGGGTTCGATTCTTGCTAGTGACAATTCTTTTAGTTTAATATAATTTACCTACGGATAGTAATTCCGTAGGTAATTACCCACGGATGATATTACCTACGAATAATATTCGTAGGTAATGGATAATAATTACCTACGGATAGAATTTCGTAAGTAATATCCGTAGGTAATGTACAATTTACCTACGGATAGTAATTTCATAGGTAATTACCTACGGATAATATCCGTAGGTAATGGATAATTAACCACGAATAGAATTTTGTAAGTAATATCCGTAGGTAATGTACAATTTACCTACGGATTTTTATCCGCGGGTAATATCCGTAGGTAATGTAAAATTTACCTACGGATTTTTATCCGTAGATAATATTTCGTAGATAATAGGCTTTTTTTTGTAGTGTATATTTATATATTTATACATTTATATATTTTTATATTTTTATATATTTTTATATAATTAAATATTTATTTTTTAAATTATTTAATTTAAGAAATTATTATAAATTAATCTAATTATGATTAAATTAAATTATTAAATAAAAAATATTTAATTTTTTAATTAGGTGAATATTTACTAATTGTTAATTTACAGATCGAAAATATCCGTCGATAATTTCCGGATGAATTTACCGACGGATAATTTATCGACGGATTTACTGACAGATATATCCATCGATAAATTCATCTATAAATTACCGACGGATTTATCGACGGATATATCCGTCGGTAACTAATTATTATTTTACCGATGGATATATCCGTCAGTAAGATCAAATTCCACAAATATTTTATATTCATCGGTAATTTCCGTCGGTAATAATTATTTTCCGACGGTTACAAATCCGTCAGTAATACGCAATTTTCTTATAGTGGCCCTATGACCAGGGTCCTTAACAATCCAGACATTACAATGCAAATCAAAATTCTGTCCATCTACAAATCAAATCAACACAAGCCACATATCAATTTCAATAATCCAATAAAAAAAGAGTTTTGCATCATATTACACAACACAATGAGAACAAGAAACCAAAATAAAAAAAACAATAGCTGCTAGAATGAAACACACGCCCACAGCTACTAGGACTAAATGTGAAGGGGACAATTCAAAATAAAAAGTCCAAATATTCACACCTAGGGACTCAACAAATAAAAAGTCCCTCAACAACCACTACTAGAAAAATGGTTAATAGTGACCAAAATTAGTAGCCGAAAAATTCAGTCACTGATAGTAACTGAATCAGTGATCGATTTTCGTTTTATATTTAGTGACTGATTTAATGACTAAAATTTCGATCACGAAAATCGACTGATTCGTCACAAAATTAGTCACTGATTCGGTCACTAGAAAAATGGTTAA